GCTAAATATAATCCATGAATCAAGAGGTTGAACCGTCACGTATACACACTGGGGAGTGGAGGAGACACATTAACTAATACCTTATCTCTTATTAATGTTGACTTTGAGTAAACCAATGAAATCAATATATATATATATATATATATATATATATATTGACATGCATGGAACGAGTCTTCACTCTTCAGCAGAACGCAAATCAAGGGTCCATGAACGATGGAACCAAGACATGCAGATTCTGGGAGAGATGGATTGCTGCTGATACGGATTTGTCAGTGTTAATAAAACAATTCCTGGACAAGTTGTCTGGGTGTGTTCCCTCAAACTTTTGTGGGGTATCATACTATCATTAATGGAAGAAGAACGGTCCATCGTCATTGATTGCTCCTTTTTTGTTTGTTTGTCTAGTGATCGATATCAGAGTCCAGAATATCATTTACAATTAAGCAAAGCATTATTTATTTCGTTTAGATTTAATAATAATGATGATGATCATAAAAGATGTAGCAAGTGAAGACAGCATGATTTGAGTTCTTGGAGTATAAATTTGTGGACAGAAGAAAGTTTAATTGCACAGGACTCAAGCCTTTGTCTTCATGTACATGGAATCTCCATTGTGTTTTTTTCGGTTTAAGCTAAGGAGGAGCCCAGCGTAGAGCACGATTCATATTATGCTTTATACTTATACATGAAAGCAACCAAGGGGACAAAAACCAAGAAAAAGAAAAAGATTTATGACCGTCTAGTTTAAATAATGGATGATATAATTAAGCATTGGAGTTGAGGGTGTGGATGGAGTTTGGCAGTGGCAGGCATCTGTGCTTAATCACTGGTTATTGGTATTAACTTTAAGAAGATTTTCAGGGGGAGGTAGCAGCCTGCAGGGAGAAAGGTTCTCAAGGTCAGGAACATTCCAGGAAACCGCGACAGATCCTCGTCAATATTTTTGAAAATCACTATTATGTGGAAGTCACAACAGTGCTAGTGCTAGAGGAATCAACCATAAAATCAAGAGGGAGAATAACGGCTCAGCCCAGGGTCAGAATTCTTCAAATAGGCTTTTTTTCAAGGATCAACATTTTTTGGTGGTTTCATAATTTCTAGCTGATTTCAATTTTTTGAGGATGACAAGGCATACAATAATAACTCCAATGCAAACGTAATTGACCCTTAAAAGCCAGTATCCAATAGATTTCTCAAAAACTGGTTTACATGAAAGAAACGAAACCAAAATAGAAAACTCTAGCCATTTTTGAGAAATCATTAATTTCAAAAATCATGACATTTGAAAAATTGACAAAAAATAATCAGTAAGGATATCAAACATCACCTTAATTTTTAAATAGTTTTTAGAGATTTTTATTGTTCAGTCCAGTAGTCCACCCCAGAAATCTGAGCCCATGGGATCAATCCTGACCATGAATCGATGTCAAATCCATGGCCAGGGTACGGTTTATAAGAGCGTGTAATTTCAGGTTTTGCAGTCTATTAATCCCTAGTTTTTAGTATTTTGGGTAAAATACAAAAATCTACCCTCAAGTTTCTGACAATCAATAAAACCTCCCCTATATTTTTTATTTTAAAAAATCCTCCCTTAATTTTTTAAAAAATTCAACAAATATCTCCCTTCCGTCACCGGTCCAAACGGAAAACGTTAAACCCATGCATCATATGTTTTTAAATACCCATTTTACCCTTTTTAAATTAGTTTATATATTTCTTGTATTTTGACACGACTAGTGCTGGCCTCACTCAGCTTTTCTTGCTCCCCATCACCACCTTCGATTCCGACCACTCTGAGGCCCTTGATCTGGTCCAGGGACAGCTTGGCCAAGGAGATTGTAAGGACGCCATCCTCCAGCTTGGTCTTCACCGACTCTAAACATTTTCTGTTAGTTGGAACTACCTCCAAAACTTGTGAATATGTACAATTATAAGAGTTTTCTGTCACGAATTGTCGGAAGTGCCTCCAGAACTTGCGAAGATGTGAAATTACAAGTGTTTTCTGTCACGAATTGTCGGAACTGCCTCCAGATACACATGTGGCTTTAAGAAATTGATAGTAATAGCCAATTTCGGTGAAGTTTGGTTGAGTAACTTTCCTAGCAAACTACAGGTTCCGCCGAACACTGATCGCTTCCAATGAAAATGAATTCAGCGAACCTTGAAGAGAAAAAGAGATGAGCCTCTGGCGACGATTAGCCTATGACTATTCTTTATGTTCTCTCACTCGTGGCCTTTACGTTACTATCGTTGAAAATTTGAGTGTCCTCCTTGGTAAAAGCGTTAACTCGATGTTTGTCCACAGAGACCAAAAATCAAGGCGGAACCCCAAATTTTCCAAAAATATTTCAGACGAATTCTAAGATCAATTTATCTTTTCTCCTACACAAAACACCCAATTCCTTGTTGTCGAGTCATCCCTTTTTTCTCTTATGTTCAGTGTCTTCTTCTTTTGCATTTTCAACCCCAAGGAGTTATTTGAACAGATGTTCCTCTCTATCAGTCAAAGATTTTGCTTCAAACGTTCTAATGTCCCCTAACAAATGGTTCATCCGTGGATTCTACCCAGTGGTCGGACACAAACCATACAACTTCTCAATCTAGTATACCATCTTAATGGTGTATGGATGGCCAACCGAGACAGACCCGCCAATGGTCATCGATCCAGAGTTTCGCTGCATAGGGATGGGAAAATGGTGCTTACCGATGCTTACAGCTTAATTGTCTGGTCCATTAATACATCCGATGTTGATGCTTACCGATTCCCGGTACCCGTCCAATGATGATACTAAGAATTTCGTTCAGCAACAAGAACTGTACTCTAATTTCTCGTTCATCACAGGAGGAAGCATGGTGGAGAGGTATGGGAATAAAATAAAAGAAAGAAATGCTAAAGAGGGGGAGATGGAAAAAAAATGTAAAGATAATGGAAGAAAAAGGTAAGAGGGAGTCTAAAGATTCAGACCTAGTCGACGGATGAAAAACAGAGGATTGATTGGTAGAAGCAAAGAGGTGGATCGCTTCAGGTTACAAATGGAAGGAATTGTGGGAAGAAGAAAAAGAGGGGAGAAAGAGAGAGAATGATTGAGAAAATGAGGACCATAGTTGCAGTAGTGGTATGAGGTGGTCATAGTAACTCAACCACTACTGCTATTCAAATAGATGAAATTGGTAATCAAGGTAACCGAGGGGGTGTTTGCAGTGATAGAAGACGATGGGGGATGAGGAGGAAGGGAAGAGATTAATTAAGAGAGAGAGAGAGATAATGAAAATGAGAGAAAGGATGGCCGGAGGTGGCGATTGAATTCAATCGCCGTAGTTGTGCATGAGGAAGAAGATGAACAGTCTTGTGATTATGAAATTGCTAAGACAGGATATTTTAGTAAAAATAGAATATTTTAATTCGTAAAGGGTATAATGGGTATTTTGGAAAAACTGATCATCGTTTTAACGTTTTTCGTCTTGGTCAATGAAGGAAGGGAAGTATTTATTGAATTTTAAAAAAATAGAAAGGAGATTTTTACTACAATAAATTATAATTATAGGGGAGGTTTTTATAATCAGGGGCCTAATATTTTTTCTCCTGGTCAAGAACGAAACTGTTTTGTTTTCTCTGGTACAAGAATGAAAACGGTTGTGTGTTGAGATTAGGAATTTAGGATTGATTTAGGCCACGTTTTTCAGCAGCATCAATGCTGGTTGATACTTGATGCATGTACGGCTTTTGCAACAAGGTTTGAACTCTTGGTTCGTGGCGTTCAGTTAATTTCCTAATTCTCTAAGAAGTGAACTTGCGACCGTACAACCCTGTTGTATTTGAATATGGACATGGGTATCAATTTGGAGTGGCACCGTTTATGACTCTACGGTGTTTTTCACGTACTAATTAATATATTTATGACTCTAGTCTAGGTGACAGACTGTGCCATGGAGGGTGAGGAAACTTCTAAACGGAACCGCAGAATGGGTAAAAGTGGAATTGAAATATTCAAGAGATAAAAATGTGTGATCACGATTCACGACGGAACGACCGACAAGTTCATTTCTTTCATTCATTACTCATCAGAGGGAACATCTCATCTCATCTCATCATCCTGTTTCCAATGCCTGCCACGTGTATGTACGGAGGATAGATGATGATTGGACTATCTTACCACTGTTCCTCATCTCAAGACTCAGGTTTAATGGCCGATATTTACTATTTTACCCTAGCAACGATTACGATGGTGTTTGGTCATGTCATCATGTGATCAAGATATTTATTAGATGAACGTTTTATTTTAATATTTTCTTCAAAACAACTTGTTTATTTATTGCTAATTCATATAGTGTCAAATGATATTTAATGACTCCTAATTATCAATTATCAAGCCATAATAATAAATATTTATTTTTATTTTTCAAGTCAAATTCCGTACATAAAGGGATAAACCCACCTCACCACCGTTGTTGATTCTTTGCATTGGTGCCACTTGGGCTGCACCAAAATCGCATGGCATTATAGCTCTTTAATTTGCTTGTTTACCAATAATTAAAACTATAGGTTCAACTTAATCCAGTGGCTGGGATTGTCCAATTAGGTTGACTACCCACAAGTCGCAACCTTACAGTTGGCCAATTGTGTACAAGTTTCGTGGAAACATTGATGATTCAACCTTACCGCGTTGTAATTGAATTCAGTCATGATGGCCCTATCCCGTAACCCAAACCCAAACACACGTAGGACTGACTACCCAATGAGGGCACTCTCGTCGGGTGACCGACATCCTGTCGGTACTTGGAAATTTCAACGGTCGGATAATATGTGTTTTATTTAGCTTTTCCCCGGTTTCCCCCAGTTGACTGGTTCGGACGGACGGATCGATCAGTCGACAAGTTTTAAAGAAATCCCCTGAATTTGAAAATCATTTCATTTTACGGAGGTGAAGGGAAAAAAAGGAGATTTGAGTTTGAGACGCTCTCCCTCAAATAATTACCAACAGTCAGTTTATCTATCTAATCCATCCCATCCATGCCCTCGAAAAATCCGAACCTCCTGACAATTTCACGCCGCTCAAAAAGCAACTAATACACAATTATCTCTCTTCCCACTTTTTTTTCTTTTTTATTTTTTCTGATTCATCCCCGTACAATTCAATTTCACTGCCTCGGGCACCTATAAAATGCTCTACGGCCTTGCGCAACTGAGGAGAGGAGTGTGAGGAACCTTATATTCTTCTGTTCCGATCTAAGAATCGGATCTCGCCACCACCTCCAACTACCCAACACAATCCGAGCAGGTTGAAATCAACTGAACGTCAGACAGAGGAAGAGGATTCCCAAGAGAAGGGAAAGAGGATAAAACTACAGAATCTGCGGTCCATTCCATCCATCGAATAGTTCGTTGTAGATCCGGATGAAACTATTCTTCTCTAACACACTTCCTCCTCCCTACCATGTCAAATATCCCCACCTCTCCCTCTGAAGTCCGCCTTACTGTCTTCCGTCTCGCCATGTCCAGCAGACCCATGGCCTTTCTCCTGAACCAAATCAATTCCAGAGAGCTTCTTCATACATAGTCCATCATTCTATCCCCCCCCCCCATTCCTTTTCTCCCTCTTCTTCTCTTTGTACAGTAACAAACTATGAGAAAAACGAGAGGTTTTAAGCTGGGTCGCAAGCTCGTTACAGTGTTCAAATGGGTATTCAGGCGGAAGAGCAAGCCGGCTGGGTACCTACGGTTGGACCTTCCTAGCTGCAAAAGCAAGGCCATATCGAAAATTTTGGACTGGGGTCGATGCCTGAAGCGTGGAGCCAAGGGACTCTGCTCTTGCACCAATTTAGCTTCCGAGTACACTCGCTTCGATCGGGAGGCGTTGGACGAGAAGCCGGTGACAGTCCCGAAAGGGCACCTTGCGGTGTACGTGGGTCAGAAAGACGGCGACCCCCATCGGTTCTTGGTGCCGGTTATATACTTTAATCACCCCCTATTTGCACAATTGCTGAGGGAGGCTGAGGATGAGTATGGCTTCCACCACCCAGGCGGAATAACGATACCCTGCCAGATATCGGAGTTCGAGAGCGTGCAGACGAGGATTGCCGCAGGTGTGAATTGCCGTAAATCAACGTGGAAACGTCGATTGTGAATAGTTTTGTGATTTATTACAGTCAAGTAGTTGAGGATGACGATGATGACAAATTGATGATCATGATTTAGATAGCCCTTGGTTTCGACTGTGGTTCATATAAATTACTGGGTGTAACAAACAAAGGATTTAATTTTGAAGTAGGAAAGAATACCTTTTTTTTTTTTCTTTCAGGATTTTCTCTTTTATTTGCCTCTGTTTTTTCGTGTGTCTTTTCCTTTTTTGGTAAATAGAATTCTATATTCAGTATTCACTCATTGAATGGGAAGATTTTCGTCATTGTGGTCGTCAGCAAGGGAAGGCGTTGTTGTCAGACATGGCTTTTCTCTCACAGGCTCGGTGGAGTAGGGAAATGGGAACCAACGCGGCTCACAGACGAGACGGTCGTAGAAGTCCAAAGAATAAGGATCCACTCACCCGCGCAGAGAAGAAAAAATCTCAGACGCTGACCCACACCATACACTAACTTAAACAATAAGCACAGATAGGTGTAGCCGTGTAGGAGAGGTAGAGGTTTAGCGTGAGTGGTGAATATCGAGAGTGCCTATTTATTTTAGGGAAAAGTACGGAAACACACGATGCAGAATTCTAAATTCCAGCCCCCTAGCCCTGTCCCCCTATAAACTATATCCTGTCCGTGAATTTAGCATCAATTCACGGTCAGGATTGAGCTGCGCTGATTTGTACTTCTCCCTTTATTTTACTGTTCGAAGTGCCACTTATGTAAATAAATATTTCCCACATTTACAATGAGGCCTATTAGCTCAGTCGGTTAGAGCGTCGTGCTAATAACGCGAAGGTCGCAGGTTCGAGACCTGCATGGGCCAAATGTATTAATACTTTTCATTCTCTCAAACTTATCTCCACGTTGGATCTCTATACTTAGGTGGTATTTGATAAATCTGAAAATTAAGAGTACAACCTTTTACCATCTGATTTTACTATTTTACTCTTTAAACATACAATTTAGAAATATTGAATTCAATTTACATCATCTCATAAAAAATAATTTTTAACCTCAAAATAATATTAAACAAATACAAATAAAAAATAATAAATTAATAATTACTAATTAATAAATGAAACGATTAAAATTAAAAAAATAATTAATGATTATAAAAATATTAAAATAATTAATAATTACTAATTAATAATTTACACAAATAAAAATTAAAATAATTTTTAAAAATTAATGAAATAATTAAAATTTACTAATTAATAAAAAAATTATTATTTAATAAATAATACAAATAAATTTAATAAAAATAATTAATGTTTAATAAATATATTAAAATAATTAATAAAATTAATTTATATTTAATAATTAATAAAAGCATTATTATTATTCATCGAAGTATCGAACCACCACTGCTGCAACAATAGTAGCAGTGGCTGTGGTGGGAAGACAAGGGAGAGAGAGAGAGAGAGAGAGAGAGAGAGAGAGAGAGAAGACAGGGGGAGAGAGAGAGCTGTCGTTGCAGCGACGGTAGTGGGAATACAGGACGAAGAGAGCGAGAGCGAGAGAGAGGGAGTGAGAGTGAGAGCAAGAGAAGACAAGGGGAGAGAGAGAGCTATCGCTGCAAGTTGCAATGGTGGTGGTGGGAATACAGGGCGAAGAGAGAGAGAGTGCGAGAGCGAGAGAGAGAGAGAGAGAGTGCGAGAGCAAGAGAGAGAGAGAGAGAGAGCAAGAGAAGATCGGGAGAGAGCCGCCGCTACAAGTTGCAGCGGCGGTGGCGGGAAGATAGGGCGAAGAGACTGAGAGAGAGAGAGAGAGAGAGAGAGAGAGAGCAAGAGAAGATCGGGATAGAGAGCCGCCGCTACAAGTTACAGCGGTGGTGGCGGGAAGATAGGGCGAAGAGAGTGAGAGCGAGAGCGAGAGAGAGAGAGAGAGGTCGAATGTTTAGGTTTTTTAAGTTTGGGGGTATCAAGGGTAACTCGATTCATTTACAAAAAATTGTAAGGATATTTTGGACATTGGGCCAGTTCTAAAACAACGCGTCTGAGCACGTTAAGAGACAGGCCCAAGGTCTATAATTTTCAGATCACTTTCAGACCCAGTTTAAGAGGTAAAACCAAACAAGGGGTGAGGTCTGAAAAATAGTTTTTCAGATTCAGACCTCTAAAAAATGCAATCAAACGGCACCTTAATCACACTATTCCTCTGTCAGTCTAATCGTCATCGGTCTCCGCTGATGATTTGTTCATGGTAGCCGACGTTGATTGGTTGTGTGATATACTGACATCTGTACACATACATTACATCAATCTTCATCTTACATAGCCACGTGGACTGCTATCTCTACAGAAGTGCCGTCTTGCAAATTGCAAGCATCTTCGCCATCGTAAATGGCGGTCGCTATTTTTCACATTCAACATCATGACCATTCATCTTTTCTAAAGAAAGAGAAAAAATGAAAAGTCATGCACAAAAAGAAGCATGGTTGCGTCCCTTCATTCAACTTCAATCGATACGATATTTTGGTGGTGTGCAATTAGGAATAGCCATTTTATGGTGGCTCAGTTGCTATCATCTTTAGCTCTATATAGGTTGTACGTTGGTGATGGAACCGATCATCATCCTATTGCCGGTCCCAACGTAACCTTGTTACGTGGCTAGACATAGACCGTCAAATAATAATTCTTGGAGAGTAGTGGTTGTATTGGGAGGGGGATTTTGTAAATGTCAGATTGAATTTCAGTTGCTGGTATTAGACTGCTAGAAACAAAGTCATATAAGGATTACACAGATCCCCAATCACATGCATAAACGCCGCAGTTGCCGGTACATCTAACAGCACTATTTGTTTGTAATTGGAGTCTGAAACTCGTTTGCACACATCTTGTTTCTAGTAGATAGAGTCAATTTCCACTGCATTAGACAGAGCCAGAATCTGCTAGAAACAAAGGCATGTATAACAGGCTATGTAACTTTTATAAACATGAGCACTGGTGTGTTCACCCTTTCATCGGTTACGTAACCCGTTTTCCACGCATTTGTTCTCAGTGCAGTCCATTAGGCAATAGAGTTTACAAGTGAACTGGTTGCCATCTTTATAAAATAGAATCTCAATTTTTTTTTTTCCTTTAAATTTGTAGTTTTCTTCCCATAGTTTAGACATGTTTGTACGGGTGTTCATGAAAAATTGAATCGAGAAAATCGAACTGAAAAATGCAGTTAACCGAATAAATCAGTTCGGTTTCGGTTTGGTATTTTTGAAAAACCAAAGGACCGGTTTGATTTTCAGTTATCTTAGAAAAAAACCGATGATTAACCAAACCGACCGGTATATATATTTATATGTATATTTTATATACATTGTAAATATATGTCACATATTTTCTATATATTATATATAAATATATAYATATATTATATTTATAATAATCTACTTACAAATATATTATATATACTTTATATTTTTATAATATTTATAATATATTATATCTCATTTATTATTTATATATAGTATTATACATATATTTATATAATATATATTATAAATATAAAAAACTGAAAACCCAAAGAACCAAATCAGTCAAAAATCGAAATTGAAAAACTGATAGGACCGGTTTGGTTTGCAAAAATTGTCCATGGTTCGGTTAACTGAACCGTGGACACCCTTACATGTTTGGGAGTGCTTAAGTTAAAAATAATTGTTTATTGAATAAGTGCTTATTCAAATAAGCACATTTGCATTTGGCACCGAACTTTTTCAAGTGTTTATTTTATATTGAGAATTTGGTACTCTTTCTCTCTAATAAGCACTTAAATAAGCATTTGTGACTATTTTGTTCTTCATTTTCTTTCAAATTGTCAAAATATACTCTTTGAAAGCACTTTTATAAAAACACTTTTATAAAACTACTTTTATGAAAGTACTTTTAAGAAAGTACTTTTATGAAATCACTTTTATAAAAGCACTTTTTGTGATTCATAAAAGTGCTTTCGTAAAAATGTTTTTATAAAGTACTTTCTTAAAAGTGCTTTTATAAAAGTACTTATATAAAATTCAACTAGGGATAATTTTACGGAGAAGTACGGACGAGCCTAATGCAGATTTCTGATTTCCACTACATGTCAAAAACCCCCACTCTACGCCAATGCCCGCCTGTGAATTGGCATCAATTCCGAGTTGGCACCCACCCCAACTATATTTTGGGCCTAAAAATTCTAACCCTGGGCTGAACCGTTATTCTTGATAAGTGGTATTTTAAAATTCAACCAGGGATAATTTTGAAAGAAAAAATTGAATAAGTGCTTATTGTATAAGCATTTAAAAAAAACTGGAAATTTCGGGCTTATTTCCCAAATTCCAATAATTGCTTAATGGCCCAAATAAGCACTCATTTTGAATAAACAGTTATTTTTAAACACTCCCAACATGCCCTTAGTATTGCTATTTGGCCCTTTGTTCTGTTTCGTTCAACTTTAGTTTAAAGCCTTTTTCTAGTTGGTTGACTGGTTGAGCCCTCTAACCTATTTCTATGTGGAATAGATCAAAAAATAAAACATTAATAGGTTATATAAAAAATCATATAATAAATCATAGTACCATTAATAATTTTTGTTTATATTTCTCTGGTTTAAATGAATTAGCAGTTTATCAAAAAAAAAAATCAAATTTTTTCTTCAACAAAAACATATTTCACATTCTTTTTGTTTCTTGATAAAAGAACCTGCATATATCAGGAAAATGATCTGAGGATCATTCTGTATTTGTTTTTCCATCATTCCTTGCCATTCGGCTACTTTAACTCCAATCCATAAGTTATTGACTTATAGGTTAATCCTTGTATTTCTTTTCAATGTGACTATTTTTCCACGCTCAAATGTCAATCCCAACACCTGCAAATTCGTCAATTCTGTCTAAATGCTATCTTTGCTGCCTTGGTTATAAGAATACAATGACCTACAATACTCTTCACTTTATCTCTTCCACTATTTGATATTTGATTTAGTAGCTAGGCTCCTCCAAGTCTGATGCTTGGTTAAGCTCTTTAGTCTGCGTTCGGAAACAATACAAATAAGTGTGAATGTAAATTTGTAGTGTAAAATGATTTATATAAATTGTAAAATTGGTTAGTTTTGTACAGATAAATTTATCTTCTTATTAAACCGATTTTTAGCTGTAATGGATGCAAACATGTATTCTAATAAAGTATATGTTTTTTTTATCAAAAGCCCATTTAAATACAAATTTACTTCTTTTTTATTGATGTATTTTTACATCTTATTATCAATATAAATATGCA